GGCATTAGTTCAATTGTCAGGGAATTTCTCCAAAATGTGTCAGGAAAATTAGGGGAATTTCAGGAAATCTAATTTACCAAATACTGTGGCAGCCCTGCTGAAGCGCGAAACCAAGTATTCCCATTGCGGTGTTTCAAAATCCCTGCTCCTACTTTATTTTTTTGAAGAGAAACGAGTCGACTAAACAGCTTGAACTTTCTACGGAATATCCTAACAATAGAGAATAAAAAGCAAAGAAATTATCAAGAAATCAAGTTGACTAGTTTTCCAATGAAAAAAATAAAGTATAACCGGAAGTCTACAACGTCGCAAACGGAAAATACGTGGTTTTGCACTTTAGCCATTGCTATACCTCGTGCTCTAGACTATTTATCGGAATATTGACAATTTCGCGTTAAAAATCACTAATATTAAACTCTATTGGTACAATTGGTAACGCTCGAACTAAGATACTGTGTGAGAGAAACAAGCAGAGCGCCCTCACTTAGTTAGTGCCAAATGCTACGAACACAAAACAAATCGATGCGCGCTGGTCAGCGCGGAGTGAATTTTAGCGCCTACAAGAGTGCGGGAATACTTCACGCATTGCGTCAAACACAGCGCGGTCGCTGGTCGGCGAGAAACGCATATCGACGGTGTAAGTCGGCAATCACATAACTCGGTTTGCGACGTCACAGACTTCCCGTCATACTTTATTTTCTAAACGGAAAACTCCTCAATGGCAATTCTTTAAAACTGCCGTGACTTTTCTTCTCTGTGCGAAGAAAATTCTGAAAAAACTTCAAGGAATGATGTCAGTTTGTTCTCCTTTAAAAAAATAACAGGAAGGCGGAGATTTTCAGACGCACCGCTAACGAGATATGCGTTTGCGGACTTACGCCGTCGAAATGTCATTATAACGCCTTGAAGCAACTATTCGGGCTCTGGAGATGTCCGTGTTGCATACTCACGGGAGTGAAGGCGTTCTGACTTTAGACACAGACCGCATCACCAGCAACGTTCTGTGGAGCGCATCAACGAGAGGAGTCATACTATACGTGGAAGTATTAAAAGCTCTTGTCGATGTTATTACAGAACGTGGAGCTTTTAGAGGTAGTTTCATTGATTTTTTCCCAAAATTCCCTTCAAGACCCACACCGCACTATTTATAATGTGAAGAAATTAAGATTAAAATTTGCAGTTTTAGTCGGATTGAATGTCCATCTTCTCTTAAAGACCCCTTTCATTGTGTGGCGAGCTTTATTTCGAAGATTTAAAATGACAAATCGCCTTCAACAGGGTTGCCTCAGTCAGGGAATTCCGGGAAAAGCGAAAATGTCAGGGAATTTGTAAAGTCAGGGAATGGGAAATTTCAAGGAAAATGATAAAAATGTCAGGAAAATATTGTCCAGTCATCTTTATTTCCTTTTGGTTTGACGTCTGAACGACAAATTTTGCCTGAAAACTATTTCTTATCATAAACATTTCTTTATTAACCATCTGGCACATTTCCAATTGTCCGAGAATTCCACCAAAATGTGTGAGGGAAATTTCAGGGAATTTCATTTCTAGATTCGGTGGTGACCCCGCTTCAATAATTGAAGGGCTTGAAAGACAGGGCGCCTAAGTGCAGTTTTTGAAGAAATTGAGCTATTCATGATTTCAAGTACCTAAAACTAGTTTTAGTGTATAATCTGTGAAAAAGTCGCTTCCAAATTCCAATTTTTAAGCATTAAAAGTCAGTTTGAACTTTCTTTCTGCCATGTGGATCCTTGTAATTTCGAAACTTTAAACACGTATTTCTCGAAATATCAAAAACTGCACTTTTGCGCCTTGTCCTCCAAGCTCCTCAATTCCTATTATTTTGCCTCTCAATACATGCGTTTGTAGCTTAGTTGTTTAACCCTGTTACATCCTATAATAAATACTGACTGCTCCCTTGATACCATTTAGTTTGATAGCTCGAATCAAAGTCTCAAAATGCAAGTACCCCGAGTATGACGTCATCAGGAAGCTCCCAGATGAATCCAGTCGATCTTGCTCGAGTATACTTCCGTGCTAAGGAAGAATGCCGTATGAAAATTCGAGAGTTGCCAAATTTCCCTTGATGAAACGAGTATTTTTGACGGCATTCATGCACATTTTCTTTTGAAATTTTCAGATATTTTACATTAAATTGCGCACAAAATTGTCTGAAAATTTCGCGGGAAAATATTCAGTTTTTCCAGTAAATTCGGTTTTTATCGAAGAAAACTTGACAACGTCTAAAAGCTCATATGGCGTTCCTCCTTAGTGCGGTAGTATACGACCCACATAAACCGCTTCGCTCCAGCTCGGCCATTCATTTGCGTGCTTTTGAACTTGGCCTATTAGTGGCCCGGAGGAAGGTCGGATCAGTAGGGTAATTGAAGACACGATACACGATAAACCTCCGTACCCCAACGGTGCAATTGGATGTATTTCTGGCAAACGGAACTATGTGCATTAAGACATGAGCCCTGAGACCCATTAGAATGTATGCTTAACAGGGCTCACGTCATAATGCACTTAGTTTCGTTTGGCAGAAATATGTCCAATTGATAATTGACCGCCGGCACAGAGGTCTCCACTCCGCTCCGAATGCTCTTCCTTGTTTTATTCTTCTCCTTTTGAAGTATTCTTCGCCTTTTGAGGCTCAGAGCTTGGGACCGTTTCATAATCATTTTTAAGTATTGATCGCTGTGATAAAAATAAAATGGACCGGAACAGACCAGAGATGCATAATGTCTAGTCAGTCGAAAGTTTTTTTTTTTTTTTTTTTTTTTTTTTTTTTTTTTTTTTTATTGGAAAAGTCAGAGAATTTTGCCCTATGAGTTCAGCGGGTAGGTTTACGAAACACTTCGGTTCGAAGTACTGGTTCGAATTAAGGCGAATCACTCATCGGCGCTTAATCGATTACGCTGACTTAGATCGCGTCCGCTGGCGCTACGCGTGGCGCGTTTTCGCCTTCATTTCAATGCGTAGGCAAAAACAGCTCCCGCGAGTTTATATAGTTGCATCCTCCGCCGTGAGTCAACACGTTCCGCACGTTTCAACAGGAGGCAAGATAATGGAGTTCCGCTAAGAGAGCAGTAACTTACTACAGCGCCTACAAGACGGAATGAATACTTCACGCATCGCGCCAAAGAGTGCGGTCAGCGCCGAGCCCATTTTAGCGCCTACAAGACTGCGTGAATACTTCTCGCATTGCGCCAAACGCAGTGCAGTCGGTCAGTTGGCGTGAAACGCATATCCTGCCGTGATAGCGAAGAGAGCAGTAAGTGCATGCTGGGATGAACCCCGAGACACATAAAAGCATGTGCTAATCATGGCTCATACAAAAATGCACTTACCACTCTCTTCACTATCATGGTGGCGCTGCGCGGCGCATGCCTTGCGTTGCATGCTCGCAGAGCTGGTTTCTGTATAAATCCAACTCATTTGGATCAAATGTCAACATTATGTCTCAGCGGGCTGATGGTTGAAATTGATAGACAAAGCTATAGACAAAGGCGACAAAAAGGATATGGAGGGATACTATTGGTGGTTGCAACGGACAAAGGAGTTAGGTAATTGACGAAGTAACGGCAACCCACGAGGGACCCGATTGTTAGTCTATCGTTTTCTTTCTTAGTCTGTAGGAACCACCCATTTCAACTAATATGATAGCTCCATACTGCCTATGTCTTCTTTCTCTATAGCTTTGCCTATCAATTTCAATAATCGGCTCGCAGAAGGTTCCTTTAAAAAAGTCAAATCTCGAATCCGTAGGAAGTATATCATCAACGGCGTAAGTCCGCAACCACGTATCTCGGTATGTTACGTTGCAGACATCCTATCATACTTTATTTTTTAAATGGAAAACTACTTGACGGGAGCTCTTAAAAACTGCCGTGATTTTTCTTCTCTTTACGAAGAGTTTCCTGCAGGAACTTCAAGGAATGATGTCGATTTGTAATCTTTCAAAAAAATAAAATACACTGGGAAAAAAAAAACTCATTGGATCTAGAGTCCAGACTCTTAAAAACATCGACACAAAGAAGTACTCTTGATTCAATCAGAATCTAGCTTAAATCAAGAACCGAGCCTCTTAATTTAAGCGGATTTCGTTTTTATTCAAGCAAAAATCCAATTGAATCAAGAGTATTTTTTCTTGTCAATGTTTTCAAGAGTCTAGACTCTAGATCCAATGTGTTTTTTTTCCAGTGTAGGGGCGGAGATTTTCAATCACCGCGGACTTGCACCGTCGATATTTAGTCTTGAAGAAGCATTTGCAGGGTGACCTGGGGTAGAAAGAATCTGGAAACGTCAGGGGAAATAACGCAGTTTCTTGCAAAATTAGTTTTTAGATTGATGATAGGTCATGCAGGCCCAAAATTTAAACCGTTTAATTACTTCTTCGCCGTATGGGGGACTGTACTGTCACAGGTTTAACAATCCTGCGGACCCCAACTGGTAGCCCCTGCCTCAAAGGGGGTGGGTAGACAGGGCTCTTAGCTGTGGTGAAAGCAACCTGTCTAGGAGAGGCAACTCCGAAATCAAACTCTGGCCCTCCAGGTTGGGGGTTGGGGTATCAGGCTGACTCCCCGATCCTCGGAAAAATACAAAATGTCAAAAATCCTAACCAAACTGCCTCGGTAACCATGGAAAAAATACGGATTAAGGTGCTCAATCCCCCAAGATTTGTGGTTTGAAAGAGAGCAGTGGAGGTTAGGAGTCGTAGAGCGCGAGGGAGTGCTGTAAAGCGACTTATATGTATGTATGTTAATTACTTATTCAGTATGTTAAGTTTTTAAGCCAACGTGCGTTGAAAATTCAGCGTAAATTAAGCTAAAAATTTCAATACAGAGGGATAAAGCTCATGAGAGCACAATTTTCCCTCCCCTTTAACGCACATTGGCTAAAAAACTCCAACATATTACTGTCTTACGACCCATGCATTCACTGCAATCAGTTTGTGTACTTATTTCGTGTTTTTAACCGCTGACTTTTTTATGTTTCAGGGTGGCAACAATGCCGGTCACACTGTCGTTGTGGACAAGACAGAGTATGATTTTCACCTGCTGCCCAGTGGAATCATTAATCCTAAGTGTAAATCAATCATCGGTAAGACTGTCATTGTTTTGTGAATATTTCAATTAATGGTGTTTTAATGCTGTGTTGACCCAGAAAATTAAAAAAAAATGTTCGTAAAATAATTTTTGTAAGAAATCATGGAGGGAAAAACAAGTGAAATTCCGAGAATTATACATTTAAAAACCCTGAAAAGTCATGAAGAAGTCAGGGTCTTTTGACATATACGGAAACTTTTCATCTTGTTAAACTCTGATTTAATTTCAAAGGGTCAATTTATGAAATTTTTGGGTGTGTTGCAGCAAATTATGCAGAGTCAACAAGCCCTCTAATTGTAAGTTAATGCGGCGTTATCTCATTTATTTTCTCCACTCTCAAGTCGCATCTTGTGAGACTCTGTTACATATCGACGTTGTAAGTCGGTAATCACACAACTCGGTTTGCGACGTCGCAGACTTCCTCTCATACTCCATTTTTTAATCGAAAAACTATTTACGGGAATTCTTTAAAACTGTTGTGATTTTTCTTTTCTGTGCGAAAATAATACTGAAAAACCTCAAAGAATGATGTTAATTTGTTCTCCTTTAAAAAAATCACATCGAGGCGCAGATTTTCAGACACCGCATACAAGATTTGTGATTGCAGACTTACGCTGTCGATATGCAGATGCCAAACATAATGATAAATGTAGTAATGCAGTTATCCTATATGTATTTTAAACACTAAAAAATGATCAAACAATTTTCATAAGTTAATGCTGCTCCCAATTTATCCAGCATTTTTGTCCAAATGGAAAATTCGTCATAATTTTTTCATGTTTAAATACCTTATAGTTGCAAGCCTTTCATTGGGTAAGTAGATATTTCCCCATATTTTTGAAAATTCAGAAAGCATCAACAAATGTAACATCATTAGTATGCATATTAAAAGATGATAGTAAAACCATGATCCATCTTTGCCTCTCTTTTAAACTGGAACCTAATCAGATGGAACATGCCGAGCCTTGAGAGCTTGTCGCTGATTAGACTGAGACAGCTAGTGACCAACAAGTGCACTCTGTTAATATTTAAACGCCAACGATTTACTTTTATGATTTTATAATTTAGTATCTATCGTTTCTATTTCAGGAAACGGTGTTGTTGTCCACTTACCCGGTTTATTTGATGAGGTTAAAAAGAATGAAGATAAAGGTCTTACAGGATGGAAAGATAGGCTGTTAATCTCAGATCGAGCTCATCTTGTTTTTGATTTTCATCAAGTAAGTGATTTACATTATTTTTGGCATTCATACATTTTTAAATTGATCATTTTTAAATAGTTATGATATTGAAAAATGAAGAGATCAATTTTGAAAAAATGGCTTACTAAGCAAAAAATTCAGCACACTATCACAGCAATTTTGGAAGTGGAAAATGTTTATTTCACTATTCAACAATTTAAATTTATAATGATTTTTACTGTCAGGAATTATTCCTGTTAGGAAAAAATGCAAATTACGTATTTCGATTTGCAAAATTTCTCGTCACTTTTTATTTTTCAGACTAACGTATAACATTACTCAGAATTTCTCCTAATTACTTTCCAACCTGTAAAAAATATTCTGAGAAATTTCTGAACATTATTTTTCATCAGTTTTCCTTTTAAAAAAGTAAAACAACTGCGGAGATTTTGAAATATCGCAATTGAGATGTGTTTCTCTCGAATTTTAGCTGGAAGCTCGCTCAATAAATTGCTAAACATGATATCTAATATTTAATCCTCCCCAGCTCCTGCCTAGCCTTTTATTTTTGTGAAGAATCCTTAATTTTCAGTTATATTTAAACAGAGTCCTTTTTTTTTTAGCAAGTTGATGGCTTACAAGAACAAGAGAAAGGCCACCGGTCTCTGGGAACAACTAAAAAAGGTATAGGCCCTGCATACGCCTCAAAAGCCACCAGAAATGGAATCAGAGTAGCGGATCTTCTAGAGGATTTTGACGCTTTTGCTGACAAGTAAGTCATAATGCGCTAACTTTTATCTGTTTTTGCCTTTGAATTTCTAATGTAAAATTCAACATTATGGTCTAGAATTTTAAGTATCATCTTGACAAAATTATTGGAAGGTTACCCATAATTTTAGTTTTATTAGATGATAAGTTGTATTGAATTTTGAAAAATCTTTCACTGACTATATAAAGAAGGGTCATTCAGTAATTATTCAACAAAATCTGTATCAGAATGTAGCAAATCAAATACTTCACCAACATAAGTAATGAGTTTGATTCAGTGCAGCTGAGAATAGGTCTAGATTCCACCCTAACATGCAAAATCACCTGCAAGATAAGATATTAAAGGCATTTAATAGATTTATTTCTTCGCACAATTTTCTATTTTGCTCTTTCCAAATGTCTTATCAAATCATGACATGATCGTTGGGTTTCTACGTTTTTTCTGATTTCTACCGATATAAGAAGGTATGATCTTCTTGCTTTTTTAATTACTAAAGCTTTGATCAAAAACTTGCTCCCTACTGCATTTGACTCACCATTATACAGTTCGGTCAGTTTGATCCAGTGTATTGTCATGCAGACTTAGGAATGAAAAACAAATAAATAGGTATATATTATCAGGGATTTACAAGTACAGAGGGATGTTTTTTTCAAACAATACTAGGGTCTCATTTTATTAACTTTTTGTCCGATTCAATTTTTTTTGGCCTTTAATCATTTCATGATGAGCCTACAGTAAATTTTCCATGTCTCTCCAATCCAATGATTTTAAAAAAATTCCAAAAAAAATTTGAAAAAAGCCCTCGAAACGGTCCTCTATTTTCCTTAAAACCCTTGACCATTTGAATTAGTGATATCATTCTATTGCAGCAGGCTGAGACTTTTTAACTTTTCTGGTAGACTCGAAATACGATACGCGATCCTTCTTTTTCTACATCTTTATTTCTTATCATTTTTAAAGTAGTCCTGCATCCAGATGTTTCCCTGTTTGGTTTTGTGATTCATTCGTAATTTTTAAGTTTATTCTTCATTTTAGTGGTAGCCCAGTGAATTCAATGTAGTAAAAAAGTAGCTAATTATTGAGATTTTGATTTTTCCTTTTTCAAAAACAAGGTTTAAAGTTGTGAGAAATATTCAAGTGAATCTTTCTTGGGACTGCCGAAGAGAAAGTGAGAGAGTAAAGTATTTATCAGGGAAGTGGATAGAAAAAAATATATATGTTGACTCCTCAGTTCTTTACTTTCAATAGTTTCAGGTGCACTGTGGACAAGGATCTTCCTAACATGGTATTATTTACTTATTTCTTCCTCCCTGAATGAGGAAAAATTAGGTTGGTTGTTATTTGGAATTAATTTTGTCCTCAGGTTTCGGACGATTGTTGCATCATATCAAAGAATGTTTCCAACTCTTAGTGTAGATATTGATGCTGAGCTGGGACGATATAAAAAATACGCTGAACAAATACGGCCTCTAGTTATCGAAACTGTGTCTTACATTCATAGTTCTCTTCAGAAAGGAAAAAATGTCCTTGTAGAAGGGGCCAATGCTGCGATGTTAGATATAGATTTTGGTAGGTTTGTATTTTTGAAACGCTTAAGCTTTCTTTAATATTTCACATGTGTTTAAATCCATCCCTGCAAATTATTTAGAAGTGTGGATTTTTCAACAGTTTTCCATTTGCTTTCATACAACTCTCTGAACCTTCCTTTTCCAATTCTTTCTTTGCTTAAGTAATGATAAAAGAAAAAGAAGAATTTGCGAATAGCGTCAAATTTTTGTTCAGCATTGCTTGGTAAAAATTTAATGCTACTGCTCACTATTTCAGCAAAAAGTATTATCCGATGTGTTCAGATCAATTCATGTTATTTTTGAGACGTCACAAGAAATAGGAAATTATGAAGTAAAAAATACAACACAGACAGTTAAACTGAATTGAGATTGTCCTCTGGTTTCATCATTATTTGCAAAATTTTCTTTAAAAGATAGGCCTTCATTCACAAATCTGCTAGCTTTTGCAGGAACCCGTCCTCTAGTGATGGTGAATTTTGACAGATCTCCTTCCTTTTAATTTATGAATGTCCTATTTTGTGTCATTGCAGGTACCTACCCATACGTAACGTCTTCCAATTGTAGTATTGGAGGTGTCTGCACTGGCTTAGGTTTACCACCGTCGACCATTGGTGAAGTAATCGGTGTTGTTAAAGCGTACACCACACGAGTTGGTGATGGCCCATTTCCCACCGAACTCAAAGACGTAAGTTTTTTTTCAATCTTGTGATCAACACCCGGATATCCCAAAACCTTAACAAGTTCAATTTTTAGGGGTAACAATGGACCACTAGACAAGGTACGAATTTCAGCATTCTGATACATGTCTCTTAACCAAAATTTTACGTAAAACACGATGCGCACAACAAAAATTACCGAAATCAACCCCTCACAAAGATATTTAATGATTCCTGATACGCGAATTCAAACCGCCTGCTCATTAAAACTCAATGCTATACAAAATTTTCATCGCGCGCTAAACATTATCATGACAGTCTCTGTGATATAAGAATCTGGCAATCTCAGTCTTGACGCTTTGGCTCAGCTATAGCAAATTGCTTATAGTTTGAACAACACGTGGTGGGAAATGAACATTGCTTGATTGAGAAGCCTGCTGAAACCATTGTAGTGCGCGATTTGCCTCACGTAGAGCTTTAAGTTTCTTGTAAGCAGGCAATTCAAATTCCTCATAACCAATGTGAAATAAAAACGTTAATATCTTTGTTGGGAGTTGGTTTCAGTAATTTTCGTTGTGTGAATCTTGTTTACGTAAAATTCTGGTTAAGAAACTTGTAACAGATTTCTTAAATGCGTACCTTGTCTAGTGGTCCATTGAGGTTAGGAGTCAAATTGCATTGTTGCCCACATATCAAGGCTCTCGATCCACCCTATTCCCGCCACCTCATTCTATACTGCCAAAGCAAGATCTGTAGAGCTGTAAGCGCAACTGTTAGCATTACAAGTTTAGATTTGTTCCAATTGACGGAAAATCACCAATCAGAAAAATAAGAATTATGACAATTTTTAGGGGCCACTTCAGTTGGGGGTCTTCATTTTTTAGGAGCTATGATATATTAATAAGGTGATTCGATGAACGCCATATTTTGTGTCAGAACGGCATGCGATATATCACATCAATTGGTTCCATTTTTTCAGCTACCCGTCATTTTTCTCCAATTTTGAGATCGCAATTCTGTTGTCAGGAGACTAAAGTACTCACATACCAATTTTAATAAAGAAATTCAACGTAATAAAGGCGTGGTTTTTTCAGAGAGAAAATATCGCATTCGAGTGCAGTTTCGATATCAGTATCGAATTCGATGTTTTCTCTCTGAAAAAACCATGCCTTTATTACGTTGAATTTCTTTGTTAAAATTGGTAAGTGAGTGCTTTAGTCTCCTGACAACAGAATTGCGATCTCAAAATTGGAGAAAAATGACTCGAATCACCTGAAGAAGAATCCACCAATACTAGTTATGATTAATCCAGAAGGCAACTGAATCAGTGAGAACGAAAACTCACCAACTCAATAACTCGAAAATAGTCAATTTTTATTCAAGACAGTCAATTTTCATAAAGGTCATTGAAGTTAGCGCATCTGTTTTAACTTGGACCTTTAAGTGTTCTCAAATTCGTCTTTCGGCACCAAAAATATTTTTCTAAGACTAATTTCTTTACCTACTTTGCAGTTGTGTGTGCGTCTTGCTCATTGTCATTTTTTCGAGTTGGTGTGTTTTCGTTCTCACTGATTCAACTGTGATTGGACTTATTCCCAGCATCAGCAAAGCCTATCCTAAGCTCATGTTGCCATGCTGAAGATCTTGTAAATCTTGCCAAAATCAGGCAAATCAGGCAGAACCGTCTTGTGTACATGCTTTGTGCCATATCTTAACAACATCCATCAAAAGCAATCGCTATTTTGACGGGAGATCTTATGTAGTTCTTGTTTCTTTTTTTAGGAAATAGGAGAAAAGCTACAGACCATTGGTGCTGAATTTGGTGTAACGACAAAGCGGAAAAGGAGATGTGGATGGCTAGACATTCCATTATTACAGTACACCAGCATGGTTAATGGTTACACCAAGTAAGTCATGTTTGTTTGTTTACTTACGAAGAAACACACCAAAATGGATGTCCAATGCTAAGGCAAAATAAAAACTAAATTGCCTACATTGCTTTTCGCTCCCACCAACTTCAGTATTCACAAACCAGAAAACGAAAATTTATAAAAATCATAAATTGGATTGGTGATGACAGATAAGGGGATAGGTTGTCTTTGGAGCCAAATGCAATAAGATCTTTTGCAGACTCTGAAGTTAAGATTGAAATTCAGACTTTTCCAATGCTTTCATAGTAATTTTTTAGTCATTTCTGTAAGGATCAGCTCTTCTCTTTGGTCTAGCGTAACTTTGTAAGAGAGTCAATCCAAAATTTCACCACACAAAACAAAGTGTACCAGTCTTATTAAACCTCTTAAATGGTAAGAAACCTTGAAATATCGTTGAGTTCTTTTTCGCTTGAAAATTCTTTCCTTACAACGTGAACTGACTCATCAGTTTTCTACCTGTTTCTCTTTCTTTGTTGATTCCTAAAAATTTGTAAATCCTGATCTTGATTTACATTTTTATCCCTGATGACATTTTTCTGTGCCACCTTAGGCATTTTTACAATCAAACTGTAGCCAATACAAACATTATTTTATTTTCAGACTCTGCCTAACAAAATTAGACGTTTTGGATACATTCAAGGAAATCCGTATTGGTGTTGTTTATATGAAGGGAGAGCAACCTCTGGAATATTTTCCATCTAGTGTCTCAGAGCTTCAGAACATTCGAGTTGAGTATCTAACCCTGCCTGGATGGGAGACTAGTATAGAGAACGTAAGAAAGTATGATGATCTTCCTGCTAATGCAAAACGATATGTAGAAACAATTCAAGGATTGATGCAAGTTTCAAGTAAGTTTTTTATCCTTTTAATTATTATATCAATTTTATCATCTTTCCCACGAAGGAATGTATTTTGTCTGCAATGTTCCAGTATTTCTTTGTACGATTTTCACCGGAGGATCATCGCATGAATTCGTCTAAAACTTTAGTGTCTTTTCTGGCAAATTTAAGGAAAAATCATCAGAAATTTTAAACAAAATATGGCAGTGATCCTGTAAAAGAATAAAATACCGGTAAATAATACTGATACAGTGCAATCAAGATACTTCTTTTGTGCAGGAGATGGCAGTATGAAATTCCAAATCCTCAAATTGTACATAAAATAAAGTACAGAGGAGAATAGCAAGGCATAGGTTTCTTTCTCAATATTTTGTCATAAAGTTGGGTTCAACTGCACCCTTGGTTCTTGTCAAGTACATCAGCTCTTCTAATGGACGTTCAATGTGTGTTGAACTTCTACTTAATACAGGAGAATCTTGATTTATTGGGTTCTGAAGTAATATATTCTATCATCTTCTCATAATTCTCTCATGGGGACTCAAAAGAACCGTGTTTAAATCTTGAGTGTTATTGAAGTGAAAAACTCTGCCGGTTTTGATTCTGTACATCGCACCGTCAAGGATTCAATGCTTTAATATAAAATTTTGACCCTGAAAACTTCAATTTTTCTCTCTTCCTCTACCATTTTGGTGGATACTAAAGAGTAAGTAGTTGAAAATTATCAGTCAGATCTCTGGCTAGCTGTAGAAGGGAGGTTTCAGTGTTGTTATATGGCAGGGAGAAGTCTATGCCCTAACTGTCTCTGCTACCCTGTCAAGACTGTGAGATAAAAAAACTGGAAGAGGTATTAAGAGTGTGGTAGCACGAACACGGTGTGTGGATGCAGAACGTTGGTGCAAGGTTGGATGACTTGGAAACGAGTTGACACGTGTTGGATGACGGAAAGGAGAGGTCGCTTTGCTTTGAAGCGAGAGTATAATAATAATAAAAAAATAATATCACTCTTTAGCTGATATAGTGGTGATCCAGCAGGGACCAGCTTTTGTTTTCTTTTTGCAAAACGTGAACATCCAATTAAGTGTTTAGCAAGAAAGAACCACCTGATCACTGCTCTTATACCTGCCAACAAGCTTATATGAGCTCTTATGCTCTGTAACCAAAAACACCGCCACTTTAAAGCCTAGACCAGGGATTCTTTCAACAATTAACATGTTAACCTCCCCTATTTTTACAAACTCTGGTTCCATTTCCTATGTCTGGCTAAATGCAAAAGATGCGCATCTCCATTGCAGTGTTCAAAAATCTCTGATATTGTTTTACTTTCTTCTCGGAAAATCAATACAAAAGTTTTCTTGCAAATTTGTGTGTT